ATTGTTTATTTTGTTGCAAAATATTATTGTTCACTAAAAATGTCATCAAATGTGTCGATAGTTAAGCCGACACTCCGACCGACACTATCGCAACAGTGGGACGACTACCTGTACCGGCAATCCCGGGTCAGTAGTTATAGGGTCGACAAGAAGTCCAATGCCCTGAGAATACTGTCCTCCGTATCGGCTTTTGTCAAACTTTTTGAATCCCTATTCTGGTTGTCATTGCTGTTAGAGGCCACTCATAATGAGGTAATATTGATGTCAAAACTTTATGCCAAAAATATGAATATTTTATAATAAAAACTTTTATTAATACAATATAGTATGGTATAGTTTACTATAAATGGTAGACAGTAAACACAACAGACTAGACATTTTGTTTAATTTTTGTTTTATAGTTTATAAATACATTTGAATAGTGTAGTGAATTAATATTAATACAATAAATAAATTAGCAATATTATATTATTATATGTTGACAAGGCTATTGTATTACATAAACCTCATTATAATGAGCACACAAAACTCGTAATCTAATACAGTACTCGTAAACAATTACCGGTATTGAATTTGATTTTGATTATAGAAAATTAGTTTTTATTAGTTATACTTTTGTTATATCCATACAAAATATTGTTAGAAAAAATATTCAACCATTTGTTTTACTTTGTGAAGAATTTATTTATTATATGTGTGAATTGCAGCAAAAAAACAGTTATGTTTTTTCACATTAAGACTGTAATTCATAGCACAATTTTTTTGCAATACTAAATTGAATGTGTGTTATGTATGTGCTATGAATTACAGTCTTAATGTGAAAAAACATAACTGTTTTTTGCTGCAATTCACACATATATTTTCATTGCATGGCTTATTTATTGTCAGCAAGTGTAAAATGCAACTAAATATACAACTATATTTATTGATGAAATATATTTTAAATAAAATCTTACAAATAATTGGTAATAGGAGGACAACTCGACCCATACGCTGACAATAGTGTTGGGCACGGCTTTTGTCATATCGATGGTGACGGGACTGGTGGCTATGTTTGGGCCCTGTTTTCATGGTCTGGTCCAGCATAAGGTGCTATTGATGGGCACGGTTTGCAGTTTCGTTTGGAATATTATTATANGTCATATCGATGGTGACGGGACTGGTGGCTATGTTTGGGCCCTGTTTTCATGGTCTGGTCCAGCATAAGGTGCTATTGATGGGCACGGTTTGCAGTTTCGTTTGGAATATTATTATATTGGCCTTATGTTTCATATTAGGTATGAGATGTATATCTCATTTAAACAATTATTTTATGAATACTAGCATAATATTTGAAAATTCTTGTAATTAAAAATATTTATACTTTTATTAGTTACTGAATACTACTCTAGATTTTATACTAAATAAAATTACTGATTTAATTTCATAAAATACTTGTACAATGTAAGTTATTTTAATATTCTTGAAGGAAATTGGCTAATGTTTAAAAATCATTTAAACCAATCATTAAATTGGTTATCATATCTGGATTGTAAATAATAAATACTAGACCCCTAATTAAAATATGTTATAGTTTATCAAACTATTAGCTAACTTTGCTGTCAGTAATAATGAAATTTAATAGGACATCCCTTTCTAGGTTTATTCTCTCCACAAACAAATGTCTCACAGTTTGATAAATTTTTAATGGCATGACATATCTCTAGACATGGAAAACATAAATTTATTTACAATATGAGTCTCACGTCACTGCGAATATCGATCGCTTTTGTATTTAATTAAAAATTCATTTCTCATGATTTAAATAATAGATAATACGATTGTTATATGATTTATATTAGGATTTATTTATTTAACAGATTATTACAAAC